ATTATTGTAAAACTATAGTTAAGTATGTCTTTGAAATGTTGAATTATCTACTGTAATTACTGACAAAGGAAAAACCATTAATCTCAGTTAAATATAAATACAAAAAGCTATAATTTTAAATTAATTACCTATATTCCATCGAGGATAATTTGCTCTAAGAAGATTTATTTTGTTGAATAAATTTTCTTGTAATTGTTTTATATTGTCTGAGCCTGGGAATCTACCAGCGATACCAGAAATAACAATTTCGTCACTGGATTCGATATTAATATACGATTTATATGTTTTTTCGGTACCCATAATTCTAATTGTTTTATTGGATATACAAATGCAGAAAAATAAATGCTAATATACTTATCTTATTTTATTGGGTTTTACTTGTTGAGACGTGTTTTTATGATATTTGGATTTGAAAATGCGTTGTGTCACTGTAATATCGAATATCGTTTGAAGACTGAATGATGAAGCGCTGAAGCACAGTTTTTATAAGCAAGTTGACGTAATTAGCCATTAAGTGAAGTTTAGAGGACTTTAAACTTACGAATGTAGTATCATTTCCGCTGTACATTTAATAATAATAATCCCATTTTCTAGTTTTGTAATGTAAGTAACATAAGTCTAATTGAAATTTATTGATTGTAATATTATTTATTTATTTAATGTTATTTATTAGTAAATATAGATTATTTAAGACTAAATTATTTAATATGGGATGGGTACATTATATTTACTGGTATAAAAAATCTATTTTTGGGGAGATTTTTAAATTTCTTTTCTTAACATTCAATTACGCAAAAAGAAGCGTGATTATAAGTTCAATAGAGATGAAACCATTTCACTATCTCTCCCACCATCTAACCCCACCAGAAGAATTTAACAGAGATTGTGAAAATTCTATTAAAAAATGGATACCGAATCACATTCATATTTAATATCATAAAACAGCACTCGGAATTAGTTGCACATTTCGGGCCGATTCCCGAGACGACGCCTCCTGTTCCCCCACTACCGCCCGGCCGCTGGCGGCCGAGCCGCCGATAGCTCTGGCGCAGGAGCGTTTTATATAAGAAATAGGCTGGGTTGTTGAGGCACCTCTCAGAAAATAGTAATATTTTCTTTGCTACATAAATAATGTTTATTTTTATTAATAATTAAATATATATATATTATGTATTAATAAAAAGAAACATTATTTATGTAGTGAAGAAAATATTACGATTTCCTGAAAGATGCCTAAACAATCCAGCCTATTTCTAATATAAAACGCTCCTGTGCCAGAGCTATCGGCGGCTCGGCCGCCAGCGGTCGGGCGGTAGTGGGGGAACAGGAGGCGTTGTCTCGGAAATCGGCCCGAAATGTGCAACCACGGACTAAGGAATAGAAGGACGGAGCACAAGCTGTACCGAGGGAGCACGTTTGCGGCGGGGGGGGGGGCCGCCATATTCGTTTAGTAATCACCACACATAGAACTCACTATTTGCGTATGTGTGAGAAATGAAAGTCAGATCCTGCGCACAATAAACAAAATAGGAAATAGAAATAGGAATAATTATTAAATATTAGAAATAAGAAATTGGAATTATTTATTTTAAAAATAAAAAGAAT